GTCGTAGAGAAACCTCCCGTGAGAGGAGAGCAGCGCGGAGTAAATTAGCGGATGTACGCTGGCGGGTTGATTCGGCGTGGGGATGGGGGAGGGGGGATGCGACCGTCGGATAGCTTACCGCGTGTGGCGGGCGGTAGAGGAAAAGATCGTATAGAAACCGGCCTTGCGGGGAGAGCAGCGCGGAGTAGATTGGCGGATGCACGCTGGCGGGTTGATTCGGCGTGGGGATGGGGGAGGACACGGGGGGGGAGCTGCCGGGAAAGGGTTTGCGAGCACCGGATAGCTTACCGAGTGTGGCGGGCGGTACAAGAAAAGATCGTAGAGAAACCGGCCTTGAGGGGAGAGCAGCGCGGAATAGATTGGCGGATGCACGCTGGCGGGTTGATTCGGCGTGGGGATGGGGGAGGCAACCGGAGGGGGTTGCTGGAGGAACGTGCTGACGTCATTCGTCAGCAGGCCTTGCAGGAAATTGATCGCATCGCGACCGTCGAATCGGATCACGCCTCGGCTGCGAAGCCGCGCCGCCATGGGGTTGCTACGCGACGCGTCCTCGCGCCCCTCTGTGCTCGTATCCGCGCCTGCACCGATCTTTCTTCCCGCGGACGACGCGTTGTCATGAGTTGTTGCTCCTTCCTTGTCAGCAACGCGGCTCGGCGTGGTGTAACCCCTCGAGATCGACGCGATGGAGGCAAATCGGGACAGGAGCAGAGGATACAGGTCCAACGAGCCAAAATCCGCGCTGCTCGTAAAGATATCACTCGTTACAGCGCGCCTCGTTAGGCGGGGCAGTGACGCGGTGAGTGCCTTCATGGCGACGGAATCTAGGCGATAGACACACTAACAACCAGCGGAACGGCAAGCTACTAGTACATACTAAGCGGCACGCATCTACTGAAGGGACAGCGAGGAGGAGGATGTCAAACGGGCGTCGGACTGGCTATTATGTTTCACATTGAAGTTTGCGCCTAGAACGGAGCGGCTCGAATCATAATCCAGCTCGGAATGTGTGTGTGACTTGTATATCGTTCAAGTCGGTTCAGTCTGTTCCCTCACGGTTTAGCACGGTCAAACGTCGAACGGCCGTAAACCGCCGAAGACCGTGGAATACCGTGTCGTATCAGTCTTAAGACCAGGGAGACATGTCAGATTCCAGTTTCCTTGTCACGAAGGCAGTGAATGGAGCTGGATGGCTGCTAATGGTTGCTGTATACGCCACGTGGCGTACATGCACTCGCTTGGATCGCTTCGCTATATCCTCCAGTAGTTCTTTTCGAGAGGGGATCGACCAGCAAAAGCTAAACAAGATGTATATACAAGCAATACTTTTTAGGAGAGGGACTTGTCAAATGCAGAGTTTCTTCTCAGGTGGTTGCACCAGCTCTCATAGAGACGTGTAGTTCTGGATTCAATGCAGTAGATAATTGCCTTTCTTTTATCATTTGCTATATTTGAATTACGATGCATCTATCCATACCACCCGCTATCTCTGGAGGAGATTGGCCTCCGCACATTGTTCTCCTCTGGGAATACCACTTGGCTCCATCTGGAAGAGTGATGCTACCACTGGAGCTCCCCATTATGCGCATGACATTATCCATGCCCCTCAACTCGCGGCTCCCTTCAACATTCACCTCAATAGCCACGTTTGGTGAGACCTGCACCGTCTTCCACAATAAAGTCTCCCAGTTGACATGACACAACCCAACACACTCCCGTAAAACCACCTCCTGTATCGCAATAGGGCCGTCGCAGCGATCATCACCACTGCCACCACCGGTTGTTCCCACGTTACCAGCGTTCACTGCGGCTTTGCCCACACTTTCTAATCTCCTGCAGTTGGTGAGACTCAGGGACCTGAGTCCAGGCAGACAGAGGGCTTCAGGGGGGAGGGATTTCACAGCAATACAAGCATGCATGTGAAGGGATGTGAGGCACGAGAGGAGACTGATGGTTGGCGGCAGGGCCTTCAGATGGCGACAATAGGTGAAGGAGAGGGCAGTAAGGCGTGTGAGAGAGGGGAGGAGGGAGGGAGGGAGAGCAGTGTCAGGGCATTGGTCCAGGTGCAGTGAACGGAGACGCGAATACGAGGAGGTGAGGGCTGCAGGAAAGAAGAATGTGGGAGCAGGGTGCATGGAAACAAGTGGCTCTGTGTCTGCCTCTGTTTGAGAGATTCGGAATCTTGTAATGCTGAATCTGGTTGGAAGCACCGGACTGCTGCAAGGCTGCTCCAGGGAGCCAAACTTGCAGCTCGCCGCCCCAATAGCACCAAATCCATCGGATCTTTCAGCTGAAGCAACGCTGGGAGTAGCAGAACCACTAGCGTGGCTCCAAATGTCACACATGGTTGCACGATTGGCTGACAGGCTCAGTGACGTCAGCTCCTGATGGAAGAGCGATGCTAGTTTGGAAAACATGACGTCACAGCAAACGCTGAGCTTCACGGATTTGAGTCGAGGCCACCAGATGGTTGCGGTAGGGTGGGGATTGGTGGGGGAGGCTGAACCAATAGCGGCAGCCTGAGCCTGGTCTGGAAAGCCGGAGTGATAATTGCAGTGAGAATTGCACCGACGGTTGGAACGATCATTGAGCTGACCACAGGAGATGTCTGGAAGGATGATGTGATGTGATGACGACAGCTGCAGCTGAGTGATTGCGGATGGCAGGAAAGGTCGACAGTGTGGTGATGCATCTGAAGGACAGCCTATGCTGAGATGCTCAATTATGATGGCTGTGGTTGAATCACACTGCCGAAATCTTCCACTGGATTGATCGTGGTAATGAAGATCCAATCCCAAGACCACGCATCTGTCCGTTTGAATCTCCAGAGCTTCCAAAGAAGGCAGCTGCATTATCGAGGAGGGAACAGTGAGCGCGGACTCGCTCCACGCCACGTCAGCATGGCCACGTCGGCTCCACGCAGACGGACTACAAGCAGCCCTCGGTCCTCTAGAGATCTTCTGCTTAGCGCTGACGTGGCGGACGTTACCATCATGACCGAGTAGCAGAGACAGCCGTTTCAGCTGGGGACATCCCACGAATAGCGAATTCAACCCCCAGCTGGTAACCTCGTCATCGCCTTCGCCATAGCACATGCAGGAGAGGTCCAGGACTTGGAGAACAGGGCAGGAAGAGGCTAGGGTTTCCAGAAACGCGTCGCCAAACGCTTGGTGGAAGCTGGTAACCGTGAGTGACGTCAGCTGCCGGAAAACTCGAATGGCTTGAAGAAACGTCTTGTATGTAAGCCCATCACTTTTGGACTCGTTACTGCACTCCTCGTCGCCGTCACCTCTGTCAGAAATGGAGGCAGGCCCGAATATTTCACCACTCGTGCAGTCAACCCTCACGTGCAGAACGCTTCGAGCAACGGCGTCAGCCCAGGCTTTGCTGACTGTTGCGCACCGGACGAGATCGCGCACCCTCGAGATCCGCTCGAGCGCGAGTTCTACGGCAAGCTCGCTGCAAGAACCGGGAGGAGCGTTTGACATGATGCGGCGAAGATACGACTTTTGCGGAGCCTCGAGAATGTCCGACATGCTGCTGCGTCGTGACGCCACCGCACTGCTCTTTTCTCAGAGAAGCTTCTCACTCAAGAGCTCTTTGAATGTCTGCTTGGAAGAGACTAGCGGAGAGTTGCGAGAATCTCACTGTCATCCAGGTGAGAAAGGTTCGCTCGAAACAGCGAATAATATTCAACTTATGCTCGAGGAGGTACCAAGCGGGCTACTGAATGAGAGCAGGCTTCCGCACTCGAGTACGCCCGTGAGCGCAAAACAGTCTCATATGCTTCTGTATACGGAAACCATTCAAGCCAGAGGTAGCGCAATCACACACGGGCTCAAGATTCCGCTGTGGTGTTTGTTTCCGTCATGACGGAAAGGTGGTGAAGAGAACCCGCGCCGCATGAAGGAATCTCGAGGCAGCCTGAGAAGCTGCGCACGCTCCGACGAGGCATTGACGAGGTTTGCGGAAGAATTCTGGACAGACGAGGGACTTCCCTTTTGCGTCGTGGCGCGTGTCTTCGGTTCCTCGCATCGCACCAGACCGCCATGTCTTCGAGGAACGCTAGGTTGTGAGCCTTAGTGGCCATAATAATGCGGTCCGACGAGGTCTTCCGCAGCAAGAGCGGTATTGGTTCTGAGCGAGAAGTACGCTTGCACGGCACATTGACGGACATCTGACGGATAGGGCGTTTGATGCACTGGCCATGTCGACTGAGTTCCAGTTTCCGTCAACATTCGGACTTGGCCCGATTCATATCTAGGACACGTCGTATTTGCTAATAACGAGTTGGCAACCTGGTGTTGTACGCGCCTGAAGGCACTCACTCATCAAATATTAAGAGTAGCGACTATGAAATATAATCTATATCCTTTACTAGCAAGCCAGCTATGCAATAGATATGAAACTAAACCGGTACTAGTGCAAATGGGTAAGCTAAAAAGATGCTTAGCAAGCCCGAGAACACTACAGATGGAAGAGCTAAGATCCAATATAACGAATGTCAGAGCCACGTTCCTGCATTATTATAGGCACAAAAGAGACATGAGAAAAGGCATAGTAGGACCAACATCAAGTAAAAAAAAAAACCCTTTGCATAATGGGACTCACGATGATAGGGTGGATGTTACATCCGAATGTCGCTACCACCGGTGCTGCTGCTCACCCTGCTTTCTTCCACATCTTTATGTGGTGGACCAACCACGCTGCTACAATCCCTTGCACCTCCACCACCATCAGCACTATCCTTTTCCATGGGTTCAGTTGTCGTCTTACTGGTCGTGCAGGTACTAGCGGTGGTTGCGCTGCTTCGGATGCTGCTGCTGGTAACCAGGCCATCGTCAACCATACTGTACGTGAATGCACCTTCGCTCTCAGCCTTCCTTGCAGCATCAGTAGCACCAGTAGAAGCACTAGCAGCAGCTGCAGCTGAGGAGGGGCGAGGAGACACAATCGAGCCAATGGAGTTGGCAGAGCAGACAGAGACAGACGATGCCGCCCGCTTACCCGCGGCAGGGGACAAAGCCCGCCTGCCAGGAGAACTGCCAGACTTTGATCTCACTGGAGGGACAGGTGTCGACCGCCCGAAGGCACACCTCCGGGGCGACGTAGCCGCTTTCGTACCGCCAGGCGATTTCTGAGATACCTCGGTGGATTTCCCGGGTGACGTGGATGTTTTTCCAGCAGCAACTGGTACAACGGACGCTGCTGCTGCTGGCCTTCCCATTATGCCTCTGTTCAGAGGCGCCGGCTTTCGGGGTGGCACTAGGGGCGGTGGCTGTTTCTGAGGAGCTTTGAACTGCTGCTTCCCTGTTGAACCCGAGACTGACTGGGTTGCGGTGGAGGCAGGGAGGGAGTTCCTGCTGCTGTCGCTCCGGATGCTGCTGCAACTAGTGGCGGCAGCGGCAGTGGTGCCGCAACTGGTGGCAGCGGCAGCAGTGGTGCTGCAGCTGGTGTTGTCGTTGTTGATGTTGCTGCTGGCAGTATTGTTAACGGCGCCGCCACTCTCCTTAGGCGATGGGAGAGACATGCTCTTATTGAGTGCGACTGTGAGCGAGCGAGCCACTTTCCTCCGTGCGTTCAGCTGCCCCAGGGGGGATTTCGGGCGGGGACCAGTGGGAGGGGAAGGAACACGGGGTCTTCCTCCTCCTGGCGAGCTCCCTCCTTCTACTGCTCCTCCTAATGCTATCCCTCCCTTTAGAGGACTTGCTCCCTCTGATGCACTTCCTCCCTCTAGTTCACTCCCACTGTAAGACCCGTCCTCTTCTCCAAGCCCATCTCCACGCCTGGAATCCTCTTCTTGGCCCATAGTAGCTTCTCCACTGTTCTCTTTCCCTCGCCGCCCACTCCGCCCCCCTGCTTCTCCTGCTCCTCCTGCTCCTCCTGCTCCTCCTCCTGCTCCTCCTCCTGCTCCGGCTCCCACTGCTCCTCCTCCTGCTCCTGCTCTTGCTCCGGCACCGGTTACTGCACCACCTCTCCCTCCTCTCCCACCACACGAACTGGGCTTTGGCCCTGCAGGGGGGGATGGCGTTCGAGGTAAATTCCCCTTCGATTTTCCCTCCTCCACCTTAACCACCCCACTTTTCACCACTCTCTCTCCAGGCCCGGTTGGTACTATTTCCATCTTTCCTCCACCCCCTACCTCATCCTTCCATTTTCCTCCCTCCGCTCCTCCCACCCTTTCACACACCACATCCACTCTCTCCTCTTTCTCCACGACACTCCCCTCCCAAAAAACCCTCCCCTCGCCAACAACACTCTCTTCTCCCATCACACTCCCCTCCCCCACCACACTCCCCTCCCCTATCACACTCCCTTCCTTCTCCCACTCCTCTGCACCTGTCCTTGCCTGTCCCCCCCCATCCTCCTCATCCCCATCACTCCCACACACCTCCAAACCCCCGACCTCATACCCCCTCCTCCCCATCCCCCCCCACACCCTCCCTGGGGACCTTCGGGGGGGAAGCGCCACGAGGAGGGCGGAGGAGGCGGAGGGGGAGGGGGAGCGCGGGCGGACGGGGGGAGGGGCGGGGGAAGGGGGTCCAGGGGCGGCGTTGGGCGCAGGGGAGGGGCTGTCAGAAAGGGGTGATTTGGCGGAAGGGGAAGGGGTGGAGGAGGGTTCAAAGGGGTTGGGAGCGGTGCGAGGCTTACGGTAGGAGCCTGGGAGTTGACAGACCTTTGATTGCTGACCAGCACTGTCAGTTCCTCCCTTAGCGAGATTTCCAGCTCCAAACGCGCCCTGATTCGTCTGAGTAACAGGGTTACCACCTCTACTGCTGCCCTTGCTGTTGCTGCTATTGCTTCTCTCCAAACTCCCACCACCACCACCATCGCCCTTCCCTCCTCTTGCCTCCTCCTTCCCACCACTGCTTTCGACTGAAACACAGCTGGTACCACTCTTGACCGCAGTACCACCAGTGATACCCCTAGCAGCCATAGCTGCCTTTGCTGCTACCCGTGCTGCTGCTCCCGCTGCCGCCCCTCCCGCCGCCTTGTTCCGGGGAGAGCTGTTTCGAGGGGTGACAGGGGGGCATGGGACTAGCAGCTTCGGAACCCCACTGCTGTCACTGCTGTCACTCCTTCTGCTGCCATCGCCGCCACTGCCACCGCCGCTGCTGCTATTGCCACTTGGGCTGAAGGCATTTCTCACCTCTCCATCTGCCGTCCCTCCCTCCCCTTCCTTCTCTTGACGACCAGCAACCTGCCCGGCCACGGCAGCCACCGCAGCAGCATAAGGACGCCTCTGCTCCGGACCAACTCGTTGACCCAAGACCGGTGTCTGGTTCGGTGTCTGGTCCGGCGACTCACGATCTGAATTAGCAGTTTTAGAAGCGGGCACCCAGCATATGCGCTGCGATAGACCCAGGGGTGCAGTCCCCACCCGCCCAGGCGAACCTGCCCTCTTCTGGTTACCACCTTTTGTCTGGTTACATGCCCCTGTCTGGTTACCACTGGGCGATTCTCCCATGGCCTGATCGTCTTCCCTTGCTTGGTTTCCACCCTCCTCTGGCTCATCCCCCTCTGCACCCACCGCTCTGAACCGCACTCGCTTCTTCCCTGCACTGCCCGGCCCCTGCTGCCCCTCATTCATCGCCCTGCCCTCTCCTTTCCTTTGAGTCGACTCCAAAGTCCTTTCGTCTTCCCTTGCACTGCCCGCCCCCTGCTGCCCCTCACTCGTCGCCCTGCCCTCTCCTTCCCTGTGAGTCCACTCTGAAGTGCTCTCGTCTTTCCCTTCACCGCTCTCCACACCTGCAACTGCAGGAATCTTAGGATCGGCTGAAACTGCGATTTTGACCACTGAGGAAGCGCCAATAGAAGTGGGAGCAGTGACAGTAGCACAGGAGAGGGCGGGGGAAGTGGCAGGAGCAGGGCAAGGGGCAGGAGGAGGGGCAGGGACAAAGGCCAGGGCAGGGGTAGAAGGAGGGGCAGGAGTAGGGGCAACTGTAGGGGCAGGGGCAGGGGCAGGGGCAGGGGCAGGGGAAGGGGCGGCGGAAGGGACAGGGGGAGGGGACTGGGAAGGGCGGGACACAGGAGAGGGGGAGGATGGGGACGCAGGGTATGCAGGCCAGAGGGACGGTGGTAGAGTCTTGCTGCTGACGTTTGCACTAGCACCCGAAACCTGCCCAGAGACGACCTGCCCAGATACGACCTGCCCAAATATGACCTGCCCAGATACGACCTGCCCAGATACCACCTGCCCAGGTAGCACCTGCCCCAGTTGCGCCTGCCACGTATGCTCCTCCTCGGCCTCTGCTGCAGCTGCTGCTGCGAACGGACTCGTGTTGACGATTCCAGGAGTGTCAATGTGCGGTAGCATAACAGGGTAACCAGCAACTTCGCTTCCCACTTCGCCAAAGCAGCCAGCACCGTATCCCCCACTGCTGCCCTTGCCCGGCTCGTCTCCAAACGAGTCGCTGCTGCACAGGAACGGGTTGGTGCTTGTGAAGGGGACGGAGGGCATTTCAGCAAACGGATTAGCACAACTACCCTGGTTACCACCACTAATCTGGTTACCGTTACCACAATCCCTCTGGTTGCTGGTAACCACAGCACTAAGCTTTTCAACCACTGATTCCGCCTGGATCCTCGTTAGTGTCTGCGCCTGCACGTGGGCTTGCTTGGCTCTAGCAAGTGGGGAGGAGGCGCGGAGGGGGAGGAAGGTCACACTGCTGCTCACGCCCGTGCCCTTCCGCTGCTCCTCTGCTGCCGTCTGCTTCAGTGCCGCCAGCAGCACCGATGCTGCTGCTGCTCCTCCTGCTGCTGCCGTCCCCCCTGCTGCTGCTGCTGCTGCTGCAGCAGCTGAGGATTCTCCTGCTGCTGGGGCTGTTGCTGCTGCTGCTGCTGCAACTGCTGCCGCTGCTGCAGCAGCAGAGGATTCTCCAGTTGATGCTGCTGCTGCAACTGCTCGTGGTGGTGAGGTTCCCTCCACTGCTGCTGCAACCGGCATACTCGTTGCCTCCTCTTCTCCCTCCCTCCCCACCCCCTCCTCCTGATTCTCCGAGAAAACAGCTGATTTTGGAGTCGACTCGAAAAACACACTCCCTTCCTCCTCACTTCCCCCCACGCTCCCTCCTCCTCTGCTCTCCCAACCAATAGAATCGCTTCCTGTAGCTCCTCCTGCGCGATTCCGCCCCCCGTTTCCGCCCACTCCCCTGCCAGACGCGCCAGCGCCTGCTGCGCGTGCGGCTGCAGCAGCAGCTGCTGCGCGTGCGCCAGCGGCGGACGCGCGCATGGGGAGCCCAGGCGCGGGGCTGTGCGCGGCGGAGGACGCGCGGGAGGGGGAACCGCGGGAGGGGGAACCGCGCAGATGCACCCACTGCGCAAACGACACACACGAGTCGTCTCGTGCTGGGGATGAGGGTGCCGATTGTCTTGTTCCCTTTGCAGTATCTCCCTGCCCTTTGCCTCTGCTGCCTCCCCCTCTGTTGCCACTCCCCCCGTTAATATCACCCCCTTCTGTATCCTCTCCGCCTGACACCACTAAGCCTATCCGCCGCTGCTGCAGCTGCCACTGCCGCTGCCACTCCTGCTGCTGCCTCTCCCTCAACTCCTCCTCCTCTTCCTCCTCCTCTTCCTCCTCCTCTTTCTCCTCCTCTCCCTTCTCGCCCTCCTCCTCTCCAATCAAGCCTCTGGTTGGTAGAGCCTTGGTTTCAAAGGCGTTTCCAGCAGTCCTGGCAGTTACACCGTCAACACTCCCCTCCTCCTCCTCCTCCGCCTGATTGCAAGTCACGTCAAAGTGAAACCCTTCTGAACCCATTCCCACCACATCACTTCTCTGCCCTCCCTCACTCTCCTCCTCCCCCTCATCTACCCCTCGCCCATCCGCTTTCCTCCCCCCCTTCCCCTCCACCTCCTCCTCTTCCCTCTCTCTCGCGCTCTCTCCTCCTTCCTTCTCCCCATCTCCCCCTTCACCTTGGCCGGCAGAGTAACACCTATCACCCGCTTTATCCGGGACTGCACCCCTGGTGGTGGTATCCTCCATCTCCGTTTCATGCCCATCCTCCTCCTCCTCATCCTCCTCCTCCTCCTCATCCTCCTCCTCCTCCTCATCCTCCTGCTCCTCCTCCTCCTCCTCCTCCTCCCCTATTTCTTCTCCCTCCCCTTTCTCCTCTTTCTCATCGTCCTCCCTCTCTTCCTTCCCTTTCTCCTCCCCTTCCTTTTTCTCCTTCTCCACCTCCTCCTCCACCTCCTCCTCCTCCTCCTCCTCCTCCCCAACCAGCACAACCCCCCATTCAGCAACCCTCTGTTCCACCTCATCATCACCTAATCCTTCCACGTCAGCATCCTCCACGTCATTCCCATCCTCATGCACCTCGGTCTCGTGCAGCCACGTGTCCAAAGTAGCTCTTGAAGCAGAGTTCGCGGCAGAGAAGGAATCATCACCAGCACCACCAACATCACCAGTACCACCACCACCGCCACCACCACCACCACCGCCACCACCACCGCCACTGCCACCACCACCGCCACCACCACCAACGACGACAGCACCACTACCAGAACCTACCCATCCAAACCCCCCTCCCCGTGCATCGCCTCCACCACCGCCGCCGCCGCCGCCGCCGCCCCTCGCCTCACTACCACGATCCCGCCCATTAATCTCCTCCGCAGCCCGCCCCTTCGCTTCCTCGCTGCTGCCTTGCTGCTCCTCCTTCCCCTTGCGCCGCTTAGAGTTTCCCTTTCCGCCTAACTTCGCCTTACCCCACGACAGCCACTTCAGCAGCGCCCCACCATTACCACTACCGCGACCCCCACCACCACTGTTACCACCACCACCGCCATTACTCCCACCCTGCCCACCTTCCTCATTACGCGTGCCTCCCTCACCCTCACCACCTGCCGCTACAGCCGTTTCAGAGGCTTGCTGTGTTTTGGCAGGGGTACCACCCCCAGGGTCTGACACCGTTCGTGCTAGTACCTTCTGGGGTAGGGGCAGATGCGGACGAATTGGCCCTGTTGCGCCGTCGTGCGTCGTGCACGCAGGCACGGGCGCCCTTGCCTCTCCAGGTGTTTCCTCAGGCATTTCCTCAGGCGTTTCTTCAGGTGTTTTGTCAGGTGCTGCTGCAACGCTCTGCTCCACGAGCGCGTTGTACTCCGCAATGGCCGCCGCAGCAGCCGCCGCGAGAGAGGACGAAGCAGCCGAAGCCGACGGGGTCGCAGATTTGCTGGTAGCAGAGGCGGGAGCAAGGTGAAGCTGTTCATCTGTCCTCCTTCCCCCCAGTGGACGCACGAGTCTCGCAGACTCAGCATCCGAACTCGCAGCAGCTCTCGCCCTGCTGCCCGCACTGGAGAACGCACTGGTGCTGCTGCTAGAAATAGCAGGGTTACTAAAAATAGGCACGGTCAAATTTGTGTATGGGCCAGCGCTGCTACTAGCGGAAACAGTAGCACTGGGATTATGTGTATTGATCTGGCTAGTAGTGGTGGTAACCGGCATGGGGCCGGTGGCTGCGGTTACCACCGAAGCAGACGAGGTTCGGTGCCAGCGCACGCCAAGGCCGCGCCGCAGCGGCAGCATAGGCACTTCTGGAGACCCGAGCCACGAGCGCAGCCTCGGCGAGCCCAAGCCTCGGCGGTGAGGCTCCGGATTCGCGGAAGCAGGAGGAGGAGAAGCAGCATCAGCCACAGCAGGAACAGTCGCAGTAGCAGACTTGTTTTGATACATCTGCTCCACCCCGCGACCTTCATCACCACCAGCAGTACCACCCGCAGCAGTACCACCCGCAGCAGCAGCAGCAGGATCATCGTACCTCCTTCCTCTCCGCGGCGACACCAGCCCGCGAACTCTGCTGAGCCCTCGCGACCACGGCGACGGCGACCGTCCCTGCGACTGCTTTTGAGTCGCCTCGAATGAAGGCGACAAGGGCGACGGCGGCCGTCCGTGCGTCATCTCCTCCCACTCTTCGCAACTAGAGCCCACCCCGCCCCCTCCGTTGCCACCGCCACCACCGCCGCCGCCGCCGCTTCCGCTCGTGTTTCGGCCGCGGAAGCGCAAGGGGGAAGCATTGGCGTGGCCTCTGGAGAAGAAATTAAAGCCGAGGCGCGGCGACAGGCGACTGGCCGCGGCGCTGGAGGCTGTGGGGGTGCCGGGAGTAGCAGCATGCAGGAACCGACGGGTCGCGTTATTAGGCGCGTCGCCGAGTGAGGCGGGCGGATGGAAGGAGCCGGAGGAGGAGGATCGCACGATCCGCGGGCGGGCTGGGTTCGCCGCTGGATTCGCCGGCGAATTTTGCGCAGAACTAGCCGTTGGATTCCATGCCGCTGAACTAGCCGTTGGATTCGCAGACGCCGAGGCTGCGGGGTCCGCGGCGGAATCAGCGCTTCCATGCGGATCGCCTCCCGGGTTGCTCGTTACCTGAGAAGGCACCTGAAGAGGCACCTGTTGGGCAACCGGAAGAGGAATTTGCGAAGCTTCGCAGAATGCTGCGTTCACATCGGCAGGAACATCGGCACGGGAATAAGCTGCCATTGGCTGCGGGTTTTCCGGCGGCAGATGCGGCGGTTGCGGACCGTCTAGAGCACACTCTGTCTGCGGTGTCGGCGAAACGGTCCGGTTCATCGGATTCAGGACGGTCAGTGAGGCGTCTTTCAGTTGAGAGAGTTCATTGAGATTAGGAGCTGACGTGTCGAGAGGGCTAGGTGGGGTATTAGGGACAGGAGGTGCTACGGAGAGGTGCGGAAGTATGGGAGAGGACGAGGGTGAAGGGGAGAGGGAAAGAGAGGGGGATATGCTGAACGCAAGCGACGGCGAGTCTTCGCATACGATCAGTGGGGCTAGGTTCAGCGGTCGATGCGACGGCGGCGGCGTCGCCGGGATATCAGCGATGTCGCCAACACCATCGCCTGCGACGGCACGTGCGACTTCAGCGACGGTCTCCACCACTTCGCCGACACATCTCCCCGCTGCAATCCCCTCCGTTTTCCCGCTAAGAGCCATCCCTGATTCTCCTGCTGGCTGCGATAACTGCCTCTGCGGATCCACCCCTGCCACGTCAGCCTGCTCCGTGGCAAATCTAGTACCAGAGCCCATCCCTGCGTTGATCCCTATTCCGCTTCCTTGAGATTCTACAACCTGAGATTCCTGAAACGGCTGAACGTAGGCTGATCCATTCATCTCCTGAAGAATACATCCCCCCTCGCTTGCTCCACGCCTCCCCTCTTCTCCGACCAGACGGTTTACAGTCTGTTTCCGTCCGTTTTCCCGACGGCCGTCCCGGTCTTCGCTCACACAGTTCCGTCGATTCTCGTTCGTCTGCTGCTGGGTCTTCCCGTTCCCACCCGCGAAAGCAGAGCCCCGGTTCAAAGGACGATCGGAAGCTTTTGATGATGCTGCTGATGCTGCTGGTGCAGCTGACCTGCTGCCGTTCCGCTCGCCGTTCTTCCCGCCGTTGCTGTTCTCCTTCTCAGCTCCGTTCCTCGTTTCCCCACGTGAGCTTGTTCCACTGCCAGTCGAAAGGATCCCCTTTCTAGGGCTTGCTGCACCGCCACGCGAATCCTTCCGAGGGCTGATGGAGGAACTGAGAGGTCGCGGTTTCAATACTGGCGACTTCTTTATCTGCTTGCTGGTGGAATTCGTCATTGCTGCTGATCGCCTAAACGAGGAGTTATTGCTCAATAATATCGATTTTGTGACATATTCATCGATGAATCACGGCTAGCGCTGCGTCGTGGGCCTTGACTGATAATGGGATATTCCAGGACGCTGACTTGCTTGAATTTCCAATAGAGCCTAGCATTTCTATCACATGTCCCGCGTTGTTATTTTCAGACACAATGTGCTTTCAAGGACAGCCCTGCGTCCTACTCGAACCAGAAACACGCAGATTCTAGAATCGGAAAATCGTGGGAACTCGAAGTAGTGATCAGGAAATGAGTTCCATCCGTGGTGTGTGACAGGGTGCTGCTGAGCTCTTCCAAATCAGAATTCCAAACACACATGTGCAGGCTAGAAGGGTGTTTGAGCTCGAGTCGGCCAAATTGCTGCGAGTTCCCCTAAGTCTGACAGAGAATTCCCCTCGAGACTGCCATTGCTGGTTCGGTTCAAGTTTGACGGGCCTTGAGCCGCAAGCAGGGCGAGGAACGACCCCATGTAGCTAAAGGTTTGGCTTGGGGGAGCAGGCAAGGTGTGGTGTTGCTGGGTGCTTCTTTTGGGAAAACGGCGAAAGGCTGGAACCGCGCTCCAGACAGTAGTTGCTTCAAGGATCTCCCGCCAAAGTTTGAATTCGGTTGTCAGAGTCAGTGGGATGGCGCGAGCACCCACAAGAGCATCAGCTGCACAAAGACAGTGAGTAAACGCATGTCCCCTTCAATTGAAAGGTTGTACTAAATCTATATTCTCTATATCCTATGTTGAATCACCTGTAAAAATATATGCACCTGTAGAAACGTCCTCCTTTATCCAAATAAACCATATAAAAATCCCAAATATTTATTAGAGATATGTTTTAGTTCTTTATTGTATATATGCTTGGTACCCCATGTCATACGTACCGTATGTCACTTGTATAAGTCGTTTACAAATGTACTGTTTTCTACAATTAGCTTGTGTTTGTACAAAGTTCTGCCATCCTTGTCATGGGGTCAAACCGAGTTGCATGGCTTCTTAGAAGCCAAGCTCCTGGTTCTACGAACGTCTCGAGCTCGACTGCCAACTGTGCGAATCTGTTCGAATTTCGTGCTGCCGCTCAATTCTTCACGTGCATGTGACCGCATCCGACGTATGAAATGCACATGAGTGACGGTGTTCGACGTATGCCACCAATCACATTGATCTAGAACCACGCGGTTGATTGCTGACCCACAGCTTCCACCTTTGAACCTACCGTTCTGCCAGTCAGACGAATCATTGACACGCTTTGCAGTTCCAGCTTTCCAAGGAATGCTAGCTGGCCCATGAACAGAAAAACCTACCACCCGCATGGGGGTTTCTTTCGGTTTGTTACCAGGGTTCCTTTTCACCTTGAGACGCTCTTCCATTTGGCCAGGTGGCGGATGGGAAGACCCTGCTAAATAGAGGGTATTATTTCGTACGAGAATCAGATGTCTATCCAGTGAGACCAGACAATTTGGAACAATTGTCCCAATCGACGGAGAATTGATTGTGAGAATTTCACGCTGAGAACGCAACTAGAAGTCCAGTCTGGTAATTTCGCTAAAGATTTCCAGAACGTAGGCTGAAACCAACAAAACTGGTCACAGCTGCGTGGAAATCAGCCTGGACGGCATTTTAGGTCGCAGTGGGACAGGACTGGGCTGTTCATAAACAGTTTCACTCGAGGTCATCCGGGTAAACGTCCCAGAAGAAAGACAGCCAGTTTGAAACCCCAAAGCAGCTTCTCCTCCTGGCCCACCTAGCCAAGCCTCACTCAAGCTGTAACAGCACCACCGACCGCACCACTTTTATCCCGTCACACCGCCTCCCTAACAATCAGTCTCCTGGCTCAACAATGCACCGTAGCTGCTAATTGTGGGAAACGCTGAAGTTCAGTCCACACCTAGCACCACCACCATCTCCGCCTCCCTTAGTCTCCGCTCATCCTTAACTTCCAACAAATATGGCGGTCATTGTGCAGTCCATGTCACCGTCCTTGACCAGCGTACAGTCAGTCGCCCAGCCGTGCATTCAATCGTTCCAGCAACGGCTTCACCCGTGCCGCGGGCTCGCAACGAGGACCAGTACCGACAGCTCTCTCCTTCAGACCGATACTTTTTCAATAGTCGAGTCAACTGGTTTTGGCTGTAGTAATCCTGCAGAGAGCGCCGCCGTACAAAGTGCTTTAGCTGATGTCAGCGCGGGATTGTTAGCCGGTCAGGTTCCCGAAATTACCCCGGACGGTTCTGGCGGCACTTACATGCTTCGCGATGTTACCGGCGAATCGCGCATTGCGGTTTTTAAGCCGATGGATGAGGAGCCGTTGGCCTGGAATTGCCCTCGAGGGATGCCGCCGAGCGAGACGGGCGAAGGACTGAAGCGTGGAACTCGCGTTGGCGAAGGCGCGTTTCGCGAAGTCGCAGCGTATCTTCTGGACCACCCTCTTCGCGAAGGCGATGCAGAGGGTTTCGCAGGAGTGCCGCGAACCGCGTTGGTTACATGCGACATCAAATTCTTCGCGTCTTCATTGGGCTCTCCAGTCTCAATTCTAGGCGGCCTGTCTTCTGCTGAGTTCGGTTCAAGGAAGATTGGTTCGCTGCAGCACTTTGTCCCCGCTATAAGCAATTGTGAGGATATGGGCCCAGCTCGGTTCGCTGCTTCGGAGGTTCACAAGATTGCTACTCTGGACATGCGGCTGGCGAATACGGATAGAAACGGCGCCAACATTCTGGTGAAAAGCGACGGCTCAGATTTGAAGCTCATTCCAATCGACCATGGATATTGCCTTCCGGAGACGTTGGAAGACTGTACATTCGAGTGGTTGTACTGGCCTCAAGCGAAGCAGCCTCTTTGCGAGGATGTCAGGGAATATATCGCGAAGCTTGATGCCGAAGCTGACCTGGCGCTTCTACAGGCGGGCGGGTGGGCCGTGAACGGCGCATGCGCACGCGTGTTTCGCGCGGCAACGCTCCTGCTCAAGAAAGGCTCGGCTGCAAATCGAACAATCTTTGATATTGGATCACTGATGGTTCGCGACGATCCCGATGTTCCATCCGCGTTAGAAGTCATGCTGGCACGTGCAGAAGAGAAGGCGCTGAGTGGAGCAGCAGGGGGGGATGCTATTAACTGTCTGGGTGAAATTCTTGAGGTCTACTTTGAGTCTACTGCCAAATAGAGACATTAATTGCTGCAATACTGGTCTACATGCTCCGTCAAGGGACAAGCCATCAGCAACAGGGCCGACATAGGCTCTGCATATACTGTAACTTTTATGGGTTGTGTTCATAATGTGCATTTGTGCAATAATGGTTCAACCAGGGTACTACCAACCACACCTTAACATGTGAGCAGAGTTGGAGAGTGAGCAATTTTGCCGAATTCTAACATTGTAGGCTGGTTTTAGCCTGCTGGTGCTCAATTCAACCTTTCACAAGATCCTTTCTTTTTGTTGATACCAGGGCTCTCGCTAGGATTTTGGCCTGTCTGAAAACCTAAACCCAAAAATCCGTTTCGTCTGACGTTCGGACGGGAAATTTTCGCGAGTCTTTCTTTTCAGACGAAATTCCATTGCATGTCTGAATCTCAGACGAATATTTTTTCCGCGTCTGATGTTGCAACTTGCATCTTGATGACGTAGCAGCGGTGCATTAGACTGCACGTTAGTGGACAGGACTGTGAGGCGTGGGGCTCGAGAGGGGAGTGGGGCTGGACTAGGGTAAGAGCGGTCAATGTGGGGGAAGGGTTGGGCTGGGAAAGGTATGTGAGAGTTGGGGGGGGGGGGGAGGACTTTGCTGGAAGATTTGCGACAGTGCGAGGGAGTTGGGTGAAGTGCTGGGCTGGAGTTGGTAGGGTGGCTAGGCTGGTAGAGGCAAGGGGGACTTACGGTAGCGCTTGGCTGGCGGACGTGGGGGGCGGTAGGGGGGGGGATGGTGGCTTGGCTGGGCTGGTAGAGGCCAAAGGGACTTGGTTGGGTTGGTACGAGGCGGGCTTTGTGCTGGTACAGTACACTACAAAATTCGGCCAGTGAGGCGACGCAAATTACTACCGTACACGTGCAATCACAGCCACCAAAGGTGCCTGCCAGAACTGACAACCTATGGCTACGTGGGCAGAATTGTCGGTATCAGATGAAACGAAACTCACTATCTGAAATTTCGGACGAAGTATAACGCCTGCTCTGATAATTCAGACTAACTAAAATCCTTTCTCTTATGGATCAGACGAAATAAAAAGCACTGTCTTGTGGTTCAGATGAAAGGAAAAATAAAGGTCTGAAAATCAGACCATCAGACCAAATTAGTCTGATAACGAGAGCCCTGGTTGATACGGTACCCGGCTATTTCACCCTATGGTATAATACTAGTCTACGTAGGTGTAGTTGCGAGTACAGCGGGAGGTTCAAGCATTGGTCGCGAGGGCGAATTGAGGTCCAAGACTAGGACCTTCTTGGAAGCAGGTGCTGCCCAGTTTTTCACTTGCGTGTGAATGACTGGCCCTGTTCGACAGACAGGCAAGCCCTTCCGCGGAATCAGCACGGCTGTTTCCACTTGGGGTTTTTTCCCATGGTCAGCCCGCAAATTGGTATCACTGGGCTTTAACGCCCTGCAACCTGAAGGGTTGAGGGTTAGCCTGTCGAACGCGATGTTAACCCTTCAACTTCATCCCCCCCGAAAGCTCCCAGCTCCTTCTCTCCCGCACAGACCTTAGCCTAGCTCTAGCCCAGTCCTCCAATCCCAGAAGGGAGGTTGGCCAAGGGCTAGGCTAGGGCTCCATACGGGAGGGAATACCCACCCCATACCCTACGAAAGTTTTCCCACCAGTGCCCATTCTCTCGCCTCTCCCCCATCTCTGCCTTGAAAAAGTCCCTTCCTCACACAACCAAACCAACCACCAGCCACTCACGACTCTCACTTCTCCACTTCTCCAATCTTTTTATTCCCTGAAGTTACCCAGGCTCCCATGCCATCCCTATGAAAAAAAAATAGACCCTGCCCACGATGAAGATGGTGGAAGGAGGTTTAGTAACTTCGCCATGACGACCCCCTCCTTCCGACATCGGGAGGCGCTGCTTCCGATTTCGTAAGGGGGGGGGTAGCCTAGGAGAAGTTACTTCGAAAACTCCTCTTAGCTCTAGCCTAACCCTAGCTCTCCAAGGAGATGGCTGCCTATCCAACAGGGCCACTGTCTCTGACGTGCGCGACCACCCACTTGATTACTGACCCACATAATATAGTTTTGCCTCCACGATTCTGCTGGTTAACCCGATTATCTGACACGGTTTGGTGCAGAATTCCCAACATTTTTGTAGCTGGTCCATAAACAGAACCCTGTACCGCCAGAATGTAGGGTTCTTAGGGTGTGGAACTAGGCTTCTCTTTTGTAAACTATTCCTCCATTCGGTCAGGTGGGGTTGGGATCACCCTTTTAAATTGTCGTAGGGCTACTTCTGGCGGGTTTTCCACCGATTGCGTGCCACATTTCGTAAGCCGGACCAGCTACGTAGCCTCGGACCCCGCTTCGGGCCAGCCGTGGAACCTCCAAATCCACCCACTTGCTCTGCTTTTTGGCAGTTGTCGTTGAATGGAATGCTGCTTCTTTTTGCCAGAATCTTGACAATCAAATTTGGACACTGACAGGTCGCTATGGAAACAGGAAGGGGCTGTGTGAAACCCTAGCTGCTACTTCTGCTGCTGACCCACCTAGCGAAACCTCAACAGCACCCCACCACCAACGTGCCCAGTCTCTTAGCTCAGCACACCACAGCTGGTTGTAAAACGCTGTAAGGCAATCCATTCCACAGCACCACCGCCACCTCCATCCTCCCTTCGCCGGCCGTGGCATCATATCATCATCGTTACCCGCTAGGCCTTAACTTCCGACGAAAATGGCGGCCATTGTCCAGTCCATGACTCCGTCGTTGGCGGTCATTGTCCAGTCCATCTCTGCGTCGTTGACCACCGTGCAGTCAGTCGCCCAGCAGTCCATCTCTGCAGGGAGTGCTGCTGTACAAAGAACCTTAGCTGACGTCAGCGCGGGATTATTAGCCGGCCAGGCTCCTGAAATTACCCCGGACGGTTCTGGAGGTACTTACATGCTTCGCGATGCGACCGGCGAATCGCACATTGCGGTTTTTAAGCCGATGGATGAGGAGCCGTTGGCTTGGAATTGCCCTCGAGGTATGCCGCCGAGTTTAACGGGCAAAGGACTGAAGCGTGGAACTCGCGTTGGCGAAGGCGCGTTTCGCGAAGTCGCAGCGTATCTTCTGGACCACCCACTTCGCGAAGGCGATGCGGAGGGTTTCGCAGGAGTGCCTCGAACCTCGTTGGTTACTTGCGACGTCAAATATTTCGCGTCTTCATTGGGTTCTCCAGTTTCAATCTTAGGCGGCCTGTCTTCTGCTGAGCTCGGTATAAGGAAGATTGGTTCGTTGCAGCAGTTTGTCCCCGCTATGAGCAATTGCGAAGATATGGGCCCGGCTCGGTTCGCTGCTTCGGAGGTTCACAAAATCGCGGTTTTGGATATGCGGTTGGCGAACGCGGATAGGAACGGCGCCAACATCTTGGTGAAGCGTGACGGCACAGATCTGAAGCTGATTCCGATCGATCACGGATACTGCCTTCCGGAAACGTTGGAAGACTGTACATTTGAATGGTTGTACTGGCCTCAAGCGAAGCAACCTCTAAGCGAGGAAGTCAGGGAATACATCGCAAAACTTGACGCCGAAGCTGATTTGTCGCTGCTGCATGCAAATGGCTGGGCCGTAAAAGACGCGTGCGCGCCAGGGCAAATTTTTGGTTTTGACATACCCTTAAGATCAGTGTACCCCTATCTAAAAAAACTGATTATCAGTGTGACCCCCTACAGAAAAACTTTCACATCAGGGTATTGTTAACTTTTTAAAAATTTACCCTGTCGCATCAGTGTAACATTTTTGTAAAGCCTGGTCATTTTATTTTAATGCTGCACGCAATACAGATCCTACTCATCATCAGACATGGCCCAAGGGTGTTCATCGTGGTCACTTCCCTCCTCTGGCTCTGGTGCCTTCTGCTTCCCCTTCCGATCCACAAGTATCGGGGGCGCAACTGATTTCGCAGGCTTGCGCATTTTCTGCTTGCGCCAGATGTCCACCACGTCTGGCCAGACGTAGGGGTACTTCAGCATGTGCAGCGTCATCAGGTCGCCAAGGCGTGCATCGCACAGCGATGTACGCATCCAGCTCTTTATGATATTCTGGCGACTGAACCCTCTCTCACACTCCACTGTGCTCAGTGGCAGCACAGCGAGGGCCTGCCAGAGTGTCATTAGGTTCGGATAGCTGCGTCGCCAATCCCGGCTCTTCAACATGCTGTGAAGACCCTGGTGAAAATTTTCTCCCGCGTGATGGCGTGGCATGATGTGACAAAAGCTCCTCAGCTCCTTCTTGGCGGCCTTGAAATCGAATCCTGACGGAGAAGGGGTTTGGGGCGGGGGAAGTAGTTAGCGGTGGTTGTCCGATGTTGGATGACATGCACGAGACAATACGTGTGAAAGGAAATGAAACCTCACAGCTCACCTGGTAGCATGCCGCCAAACAGCGCGTCGTTTGCGGCCAGCCACTCGAGGGTCTTCAATTCGCGCTGGTCATCTCTGCTTGGCCACGATTCAACTTGAAACAGCTTAGCGCCGCCCAACTGCTGCAAGTCCCACATGCGGTACTTCATGCGTGCGACAATTTCCTTCGCGAACCCCGTGCAGAGCTTCTCGCAGTCAGCAATCGTGCCCCCAAACTTGTGCTTCCTGATTGGGGTCTCTACCACAATAACGACCGGTACAAATGGAACTTGCCTTGCGGTGCTGGAAGAAGCGGTTGAGAGAGTTGAGCACAGCAAGAATGTCTGCGAGGAAGTACAAACAGAAGTGAAATTTGAAGGTCTGTACTGTTGCAGCAATTTTGTGGCGGTACTCAACAATCATGACGATCGCCGCCCCAAGTACTCTGCATAGCCTCGCTATAGCATCTCCGCGTGATAGCCAACGGACGTTGAAAATTCCCTGGTGTTCAAGATTTGTCTTGTGTATCTCTTGTTGCAGCTCCTTGAATCTGTCGTACCAAATGCTGGAACGGCAGATGATCTCTCCCACGGCTCGCACTGCATCGTCGATCATGTTCAAGTCGGGGAAAGCCTTCGCAGCATCCTTGACCATGAGTGCTTCCCTGCAACACATCCAAGTGGTAGATTAGTTAAGCTTAACGATGAACGGTTTTACAGCATTGCATGCGATGATTCTCGGAAACGCTTAAGCGAAGCTCACCGATGCGCGACGCAGTGACATCCGACGAGATGCGGCACGTGCTCTTGCAAACGGCTAACCAGACCGTTCTTCTCCCCCGTCATCACAGAAGCTCCGTCGGTGCCGATGCCGGGAAACCCGCTTGATGTCCACCCCAACAGACTCCAGGTGGCTTGTGAGCACAGTGAAAAGCGAGGATGCGTCGCACTTGTGCACCGTCAGTAGAGCCAGAAATTCCGTGACGGACACGCCATTTTTGAGGAAGGTGGCAAACACGATCAAATGTTTTGCCCGCGAGCGCGATCGGTGCTCTCGTCGCAAGTAATGCCGATGAATGGTGAAGCGAGAAGATGCTGCAGCTGCTGTGTTTTCTGGTACTTAGCCATCGTCGAGGCCATTTCGTTGAATCCGTACCTGCCACAAGCCGAGGTGAAAGCGCTTAGACACAAATGGAATGCGGAAACATTCGTTGCGGGCTGGCTATTTTGGCACACGCTTACTGTGTGATGTACACGCCGTAGGACTGAAGCGGTATGTCCTCTACTCCCTCCTCTGCGAGGAAGCCTATGAGCTTCTGAAACATCGCGATCGGTGCGTCCGTTGTTGCAGGTAAACTCCACGCCGCGCATGAGACGAGTCAGCCGCGCCCCCTCCTTGTCGGTATTGGCGAAGTCGTCGATCCTCTTCTGGTGCTCGATCTCCGCCATGAGCGTCCGCTGCCGCTTCATCGCTTCCTCGTGGCGGCCGCTCAGCTCGTGGCATCGCATTGATCCTAGCTGCAGA